CCTCCGCTTGGGGGTGTTGGCTGATGAGAGAGGCTCAACATCACCCGTCAGTGTGCGCTCCCAGCGCAGAAACCAACCGTGTCCTGGGCTGCATCAAAAGGAGCATGGCCAGCAGGTGGAGGGAGGGCATTCTGCCCCTCTACGCTGCTCTTGTGAGACCCTCCCCTGCAGTCCTGCGTCCAGCTCTGGGGTCCCAACACAAGAGGGACGTGGAGCTGCTCGAGTGAGTCCAGAGGAGGCCACAAAGATGCTCCCAGGGCTGGAGCAGCTCTGCTCTGGAGACAGGCTGAGAGAGCTGGCCTTGTTCAGCCTGGAGAAGAGAAGGCTCCAGGGAGACCTTAGAGCAGCTTCCAGTGTCTGAAGGGGCTGACAAGAAATCTGGAGAGGGGCTTTTTACAGAGACATGTAGTAACAGGACAAGGGGGAATGGCTTTGAGCTGACAGAGGGGAGATTGAGATTACATATTAAGAAAAAGTTCTTCCCTGTCAGGGTGCTGAGGCGCTGGCACAGGTTGCCCAGAGCAGCTGTGGCTGCCCCCTCCCTGGCAGGGTTCAAGGCCAAGGTGGGGAGGGCTTGGAGCAACCTGGTCTAGCAGAAGGGGTCCCTGTCTTTGGCAGGGGGGGGGGTCCCTTCCAGCTCAAACCAAATGGTGAAGTGCTTCATGACATGAGGCCAGAACTTCCACACAGATTTACTTCATCACAGATGCCTACAGCAAGGCAAAGGGTCTGTCAGGCCTCCTCCTTCACATGGCAGCATGTACAGAGGCCACAGGTATTGCAAAGGAGGTTGGGCCTGAGGTGGCCAAGAAACAGTGTGGCTGCTTCTGTTGAGGGAGCACATTACAGGGCAGCCCATGCCATTGGGATTATTTTGCTTTCAGTTCTTCAAAGTCAGAAGAGAAATACCCTCAACAGGAAGCATGCTGGGCATTCTTGATCCTTACACTACCTGCAGAAATTGCACCTGCAGGAAAGGAGCATTTTACTACTCTCACATGTGGCTGTCTTGCTGCCAGCACACAGAGCACCTTGTCATTAATATGGGTCAACCAAAATGAGAACCGCAGGAAGCAGAAGCTTCCTTAGAATTTAAAACCTTGCTGCTGTGAAAACTGGTAGATGTGTTCCCTCTCTTGCTTCTCTCCTTATCTCCCATCCCCACACCAGCTCTGGCTCTTAGGGAAGCGACCAAGCCTGTCAAAGTATTTTGGCTTTTTTGGTATTTGCTTTTATATTTCTCCTGGGAGTTGGATGAGCTGAACTTGCTCACCAAGGGGACAAACCAGAAACACAAGCCAAAGAAGTGCCTGGTGAGGATTACTATGTCACACACACAGTGAGGAATGTGGTCATCTTCAGGACCCGAGAGGTTGCAGTAACCCACTTCGGATGAGGCTGCTGGTATAGGTTTTGTACATTTTGCAGTTATAGTTGGCTTTTAGTTAATGTTCAACTTTACAGTCTTGCTTTTTTTCCATTCTGCTTAATAAAAAATTATTCTTATGTAAGATGTCATTCTTACAGAGGACAAGATCCAGTAAGATGAAGAAACACACCTTTGGATATATACACACACGCCAAAATACACTCCTGAACTATTTAGACCTTTCAAATGGCTAATTTATGTAATTTTTGTATTTACTGTCAGCAGAATCACAGCAGCAGAATTTGCTATCAATGGCAAGGAAGGAAGTCTGTGCAAGACCAAACAGTAAGATGCAAAAATCCTAACAGGGCTGGCATTCCAAACCCTTAGAGGGGTACAGCAGGACTGCCAGGACCATAGAAACAAAGTGTCTCAAGCTGCAGAGACAGTTGCATCAGGCATGCTCATCAGACCACTGCAGGGGCGACATATGCAGGAAGAGGCCAGAAACTGCCCTACACCCCTCCAAACTGTTCCCAACCTGCTCTGAAATCCTGAACAACCCATTACACCCACCAGCAATAACTCTGAGAAGCACAGAGTGCCTGTGCTCAGACACCACAGAGACAGGCAGCAGTGCCAGAGCAGGTACCATCTTTTGAGCAAGTTAAAACTAGACATCAGACTTCAGAAACTGATTGTAAACCAAAGCTGAATAGAGTTAAAAAAATAAATGCTTTCTCCTCAGATGCTTTGAAAATGGAGAGTTTACTTCTTACGTGCTTATCGTGACTGGAAAGGCCAAGTGTCACTCCATGAAAACAGTCACTACCTCTGCCTTAAAGAACACTTTAATTAATGAAAGATTGTATTTGACTGCATGGCTAAGACAGCAAACAACCCAAACAAAGGTAAAGATTAAACAGCAACAGATCTATACTGAAAGAAGGCTTCTAGCACAATGGCTGAGGCAGCAAGAGGAAAAGTGATTGACTTGCAGCTGGTCTCCAGTTGTAACTTTCTCAAAAAGCATCTCAGAGCACATCATTCCTTTATGAGAAGCCCCCCCATTACTAGAGACATGCAGGCAAAGAAAAAGCACAATTCACAATTTTGCTTGATGTGTTGTTAGTGCTTTCAACAGAATTTCAGGATTTGTTGGTTTTTAAAATTTAAAACATCAGAAGATACTGCTGTCAAGGATTTTGTTACTAATTTCCCAGAACCAAGTTACAGATCATCACCTCTACAGAGGTTCAAAAAAAGGACACATTTAAAACATTTTCTAACATTGGTGACTAGCACATACACTCAGCAATGTAGAGTTGTGTTTTGCTCTTTCAAACATGGAGAGTGGAGAAGTATCTTATTACAAGCAAAGAAAGGTCAAAAGATGGCTTTATAATAGCAATAGATAAAACAATCTAGCAAGAATACTTCTGCTGAGTAGCAGCTGGTCAACTCTTCACCAGCCTCAACCTCCTCCAGGCCTCAGCTTCCCCACAAGTCTAAGTGGCAATTCTTTTGAATTGCGTTAGTTCCAGCCACGCGTGGTAGTTATATGAATCTTTAATTACAGTTATGTCATTACTGACAACTTCAGTTGCTGTTCCCCCTTTTGGTTTAACTTTCTCCATCATAACTGTCTTCTGGACTACATTTTTTTAATATTATACATTTTAAATCAAACTCAAAACAGTTTGAGTATGAAAATTAAACAGCAGTAAATATAGGTAATACAACTGTACAAGAATAAAGTTGCAGAACACTAGCAATAAGACAACAGAAGTATCTTTTCCTAATGACAGCAAGTGTCAGATTTGCATAAGTGACCTCTATGAACAGAGGCAAATATAAGCCCACAACCACTTATACTGTTAGCATTTAAGAAAGATCCTTGGCTTTGGCAGTGGGGGAGTAACCTGTTTTTTCCCCTCTTTCTCTAAGAAAAGGGTTAGTGTATGAGAACAGTATCTGCAAGACTGGCTGTCCAGTTATACTCGTTACCTGTTGTGCTAACAATGCCATTCAACACATAGCCTAAATTCCAGTAACATACTTCAATTAAACAGAACAGTGGTTGTGTTGAGTGAAGCTTCAACCTTGCAGGTGGCGGACAACTGGAAATACAGACTCATTTTTTAGCTTTAGCTTTACCTCTGTGGAACGTGCACCCTTTCCACAAAAAGCTCCAAACTCTCATTTTAAGATGACACCATCAGTTATTTTTGTTTTTAAACACTAACAGTATTCACATTCAAAATTCTGTAAATGCAAGTGCTAGAAAATAAGCTGCATTCCAGAAAAGAACAATTTCATTTCTTTAAGGTCTGGGGGCATAAATTATTAAAACTTCTCAAAATACAGAACTCTCTGTGACCCAAAGTGATCCCCCCACAAAACTAACAATTTTACAACTTGTTTGCAGGAAGATTTGCCCAACACAGGAGAAAGCATTACCACAGCTTTAATTCTCATTCCACCATGTGCCTGTGGTTCTGCTGATCTACTCTGCAACAGGGCTTTTAAGCATCTGAAGGATCGTCTTTTGCTTATTCTTAGGTAGTGTACAAATATCATTTGCATCACTGGTATTAACCACACAATTCAACACCTTTCCTCCTTTGATGCTGGGCGATTTCATCCGGACTCTGGTAGGGGACTGCCAGTTTTCATTGCAAGAACCTCTGCGAGTTTTGCGGTGGTTTGTTTCAACCTGTTTTTTTGGTACCTTTGCATCTTTTGCCACCTTAGAACTTCCCTTTCTAGCAGGAGAGTCTTTCACCAACTGAGGTGGTTTGGTGCGAAGAAGATACTGATCTGGAGATCCCTTTTGTCGATTAAGTGTCCTTTCCTCCTTGTTGATCTGTTTTTGCAGCTGCAGAGCCAGAAGCCTGTCCTGCTCCTCTTGCATACGTCTTTCATAGAACTCCTTCTCAAAGGCTTTCTGCATTTGCAAGTTAAAATCATTTATCAGCTCCCCTTGCTCCTCTAAACTTTCTGGAAAAGTTCTTCTTCTCTTATCAAGCACACAAAAGTCAACCACTGCTTCAGCTGGTGGCTCCAGCAACTTTCTTTTTGGAGTCTCCCTAGTGTTCTGCAAGCTCTCTGGTTTCTCTTCATCTGAGTGTCTAGCCACCTTCATAAGGTCACATACTACACTTGTGCTGTCAGACATCACAGAATTTGCTGTTGATTGAATACAGGTATGAGGTTAAGCAGAATTTTCAGGGTTTATGCTTTCTACATGTGTTAAACTGCCACTGTCTGACTCAATTCCATCATCTTCTTCTTTAGATCTAAGAACTGCTGCAGAGCCTTCCCCTTTTGTGATTCCATGAAACGCATCTGGAATCTCATCTCCTACACAATTTGTTCCTGGTGGTTTTTCCTGCTTGACAGCAGTAGTTTCCCCCGAAGTAGAGGTACTGAAATAGTTCATGCACGATTCCAAAAACAAATCCATAGCACTGGAATCTTTAATGACACCAGTCAGCTGTGGAGACAGTGTTGGCATTTCCTCTTGCTCATCTTGCCATGCTGAACTGCTGCCTTCATTACCATTGGTCTCCTGAAAAAAACAGAGAGACCACTAATAAAGTAAATTTATCAAAAGCCAGTGGGTATGAATACAACACAAATCTCACTTCTCATAGCTGTACTGTTCATAACTACTCTGGGGCATTAACTTGGATTCTTCTCTTTAGAAAAAAAAACATAATTGTTTAATAATAATGAAAATATTGAAAACAACCTACAGAAGTCTAGCTAAAGGACTGAAAACACAACTGCTGCATTCGCCTCTCATGAATGACTCAAATCAACTGTTCAAACCTGCTCATCTTCTTTTGGAGCCTAACAGGACAGGTAAGACAGACATACAGAATGATGAAAAATCAGAGTGCAACTTCCTCCAGTGAGCTCCAGAACCATCATTTTAGTTTTACACACCACTGGTTGCAATCAGAGCTCGCTGAAGACATTCAGGTAAGGTGCCTGTAAGGGTGTACAAGGTAATCATCAAAGTAAGCCATAGGTTCACATCTGCAGACCGTCAAGCATGGTTTCTTCCCTTTCCATTTTGAGAAATCATGAATACTGAAGGTAGTTCAAAAAGAGCAAGTTAAACTGGCCAGTGCTGATGTGCCAGGGGAATACAGGATTGCCAATGCTACAGGCAAGGGGAAAGTTAACTCATAATTATTAACACTGAGATTTATAACAAAATTATTCTACTTACCACAGAGCCAGAGTCACTCCTGCCTCTTGTTCTAGAGAATGATGCTGATCCCAATGTATGATGAAGTTTTGGAGACAGATACCTTAAAAGTAAAAAAACAAAAACAAAAACAAACAAAACCCTTTAAAAATCTTTTTTTCTTTGAATTGTCAGTGCTTTGCATTATTTGAGATCTTCAGGTTCATTCTGACAAACACAAACAAGAAGAAAAGAACAAATGCTTCCGTTCTCCTCCATTTTATCCTCTGAGGAGATGTTTTAACATGCAACAATTTACATTTACCTCAGATTATCCAGGAAATTTGGTCTACAGGATTCCAAAGAAGCAAATGGAGAAGAGGGACATTATACCAAGAAAAAGACTAACAATTAGAGAGAAAAAACTTGAATTACTTACTTTTGAATGTCTCCAGAGTTGCTTGGTTTGCTCTTCGTCTTGCACAAATTAGCTGGGGATGTTTCAAGTGAGACACTGCCTGCTCGTGCAGGACTGCTGAGCACGTGTCCTTTGGAATCATCATTCTTCGATGACAAAGACAAACAACATAGTGTTATATAAAACAAAACACAACACAAACTGGAGAAAACCCAGAGAACTACTTTCTTCTGCTGCAGAATTAGTTACCTTTGTCCAAAGAATTCTACAACTGTAAGTAATGTATAGTTAGGGAATAAGAAATGTTACATGTATCTTTCCTGTATCTAGCACTAAGGGAGGACAAGAGGTTTTCCTCAAGTAAGTACACAGGTTTTATCATCACATTATCAGGCAGCAAAAACCAACCAATCAAAATCCCCAAACAAATTAGCAAAACAAAGAAACAAAAAAAGCCCAAATCATAAACTTTCATTTTCACTGTACATTTTGGTCTTTTCAGTGCAGGTTACAGATACCAAATTCCTCCAAACAAGTATTTTTAAAATCATGGGGAAAAGGAAGTATTCAGAGGAAACCCAATGTTTTAAAATGTTTCACAATGAAAACACCCAGACCACATGTTTCAAGTGTCTATTACACAGGTAGAAATGTTTGGGGTATTTCATCCTCCTGCTGGTTCTTCAAAAATGAACAGTCAATCAAGGATCTAAAGCACCAGGGGCCAACAACAGCTTCCAACTACAATTAATTTAATTTATTTCATTCAAAGTTTTAATTTTTGCTCTGAAAAGTCTAAGTTGCTTGCACTGTATCAATGTTTTCTACTGTCCCCCTTGTTCGTAACTCACCAGGCTGTTACTCAGCTGCCAGGCCAACTCTTCATCTTGCTTCAGCTGTTTCTCCATCTCCCTCCGCCTCTCTTCTGCCAATCTCTGTTCCTCCTCCTCCTCTGCCAGAAGGCGCTGAATGTATTCCTCACTCGCCTTGTTCTCCTCTTGCTCATGCGCTCGCCTTTCTGCCTCCACCTATAAAAGGCTTTTCTAAATGCATCTGCATACTACTGTAGGACCACACATTATGCCAGAACCCTTCAGCTGACGCTCCTTAAATGTGAACAATGCACTCTTCACAAAGCCACAGCACACTTCAATACCAGTATTTAATTACAGAAGTCTCCAAAGATGTAAGAATGAAACTAATACTGTGTGTAAGGTCTTCAGTTTGATAACAGTGACCTGTCTTTTGGTTTCTGTAAGACTATAACATCGACATTGCTCACTGCAAGGTTAAATTCCATCATCTTTTCAAAATGTTAATAACAAAATCTATGATCTCCAAATACATGGATCTAGAGATGAAACATGCAAAATCTTAAGGGGCAGATCAAGAACATCAATTCTGCCTTCCTTGAGGCAGACATCCTCTCTTGATAACTCAGTTATCAGTAACTCCACAAGGACAGCGAAGTACTTCAAGAATTAATAAAGCTTTCTTAACTGGGCAGTGGAATTTGGAGATTTGCTTTAGAGAAGAGCATCAAGCTGTAATACTACAGAATTTAAGTGTGAGTTTGTTAGAAATCATGTGTTGATTTCTTATGATTGGCACCAGACACCACGACTTACTTCGCTGCTTTTGGGCACCATCTCCATTAACCATCAGAACTATTGCTACCAATCAATCTTATCCCTTAATTACCATAAAAGAGAATCCCACAGTCCTCTGCTCGTAACCTCTGCTCTTGTAACAACCAACAGGGCAGTCAGGAAAAGGAGCATTTTGATATAATTTCCAACTATAATTCTTACTACTACCGGGCCCTTCTAATTATCTTTCTTTTTCATTAAATAACACTCCAGCTGTTTGTGGGAACAATTAAAATAACTAGATCCAAACATTTATGCTTTTAAATACATTTTTAGACTTACCTTGCTAATCTCTGCTTCATATTCCTGCCTCAGTTCCCCAGGCTTGCTCAGCTGGTGCTGCGGATGGGGGACACAGACTAATGGAGAGGAAGGAGAGAAAAAAAAACAAGTGAGGAACGAAACAAGATCACAACAGTCAGCAAGAAAATATTTTAACAAAAGATTCTTTCCATACCCTGTCACAAGAATGATGTGACTTATATCAAGCGCTACATGAGAAAGCACTGTGTTACAAAATGGCCAGTGCAGTTTTCCAAGCACTGTATATGAAGCAAATACCTACGCTGACCATAACTTAAGTCTTTTGCTTTTTGCCGCTGAAAGAGCTTCTTAATATAGCAAGTGGCACAACATGTCACAGAGCCAACCTACCAATTAGCCTCCCTCAAGGGAGCTTACAATATAATAAACCCCCAAAATCCTTCTTCAAAGAATTAATCAGATTTCACTTCCTTTTCTCTGACACCACAATTTTAGGCTCAGAGACTCTGGCACAGACTAAAGCCCTAGAATTTCTAACCAAGCTAATTAACAGCATCTACGAGTGAACAACTCTGAACCACTACATTTACTTGCCAGTGATAAACACACACAGACAAACACTCCACTTTCAGGTTTTACAGTAAAAGTTGTGTCTGTAACAAATTACAGCCTTTGCAAGGCTAGGCAGCCACACACCAACACTTTGTGCAGAACACATGAACAAATATGCTCTTAAAAGATCAAATATAACTCCCCCTCTGACCTACACATGAAAATGGCAGAGGTGGCCATTTCTGCCTTGCAAGCCCCTTTCACAGGAGAGCTCTGACACTGCATTTGCTAGCACTAACACCTGCCTATGCACAGCTTCTTTCACAACATCCGAAGTCCACCAACAGTAATTATTTTGGTAATGCAGAGACATCTCAGGACAAGTGACATTTTACTTACTTTCATCTTCCAAATCCTGTCCGTTAATCCTACGCTCACATTCCTTTGGGTAATGCTTCTGGATCTTTTCCCAGAGCTCCCAATTGACAAGAGTATTCCTGCGGGCATTATACCGTGCCCAAGAAGAGACCCGACGCCGACAAAAAGGGCAACAAAGACTGGCTTTTTCAACTGTCAGCTGGAAACAAGAGTTACAGAGGGTATGGTTGCATGGCAGTGTCACAGGCTCTACAAAGATCTCCATGCAGATTTGGCAGAGGCAGTCAGACAACGATAGCGGAGCCCCCGGTTTCTTCAACATATTGGCTTGAAGTGAAGGAACAAGACTAGTACAACATCAGCACCTGAAAGCAAAAAGAAACATGTATTTTACTTCCCATCATGACTATAAAAGAAAACAGAAAACGCTCAGTTTTACAGCTACTTTATGAAAACATTAGATTTAAGAAGTCTGCTTATGTGGTTACTTTTGCTCCTGATCCAAGATATTTTTGAATTTGAGAGGAAGACAGAAATCTTTCCAGAAGACATGGAGAAACTGTAGCAAGTTTTCCTACCTAAGTATCCTATGAGTTGTAACAGATGCTTTGGGATAGCAAGGAGGTGGTACGGAGAGGGGGGGAAAGGTGGTGAGATTTCTTCCAGCATTTACTCTCTATTAGTGACACACTATTCTCACGTTTGGTGGATCTGTTGTCACAGTTACCTTAGCTGTCTGCTCAGTCAGTTTTTCAGTATATGCTTGTCCTTCAAAAGCTGCTCTGGTACAGACTCGGTTCCAGCACATTTGAAGGTGAACTACAAAATCCCTGTGCATCAGAGGAGAGAGTGATCCTCCTCATTCATTCATTCGCTTAAGCTGAGACTAAAAAGTCAAAGCACTTTTTGTTAATACAGGCAAGAAATTAACCAATGCATTCAACACTTCAGCATCTTCTTGTATGGATTAAAATGGTGGGGATCATCCAGCCTTTGTATCACTTCTCCCCACAGGACTCTTCCACTTGGCCCAGAAATACTGTGGAACAGAAAATAAGAAACACCTACAGCAAAAAAGGATGAAAAAAAAACCGGTTTTTTTTCTTTCTTTTTTCAGTTACAGGAAGTTAACAAGTTTTTATATGCTTCTCAGAAACAGCCAGGTTCAAAAAGAGCCGAGGTCTTTCAGAGAGAAAGGCTGCAATTTCAGTCACGCAGGAACTCGACATGGAGACAAACACACTTTGAGTCAGGTTTTATTGTTTCTGCTTTGCCTTTGCCGATAAAACAAACTCTTAACTTTCAAAAAACGAACATGGAGACAGCCAGTTTTACAGGCGGTTTGTTAAGAAGACCCACTAAGTCCATGTGTACCTGCTCTGGGCCCAGTTCGATTAGTACGCAGACAGAAATCTGACGCTTGGCGAAGCCCCTGGATGCCCAGCGAAGTGGGCAGGGCGGCGGGGCAGCCCCACGTACCACAGCCGGAGCGCGGCACAC